ATAAAATATTTTATATAGTAAAAATGTGTATCTGTTCATTAAATTTCTAGGGAAGTATAATGCCAAATTATTTAATATGTTATAAACAGGTCATTGATTTGGGGAATGTTGACTACCCTTTAGTCCAGAATACTAATATTTAATATTATATAAAAGTGGTTGTAATTTTAAATTATACTTCCAAAATATATTTTCTGGAAGCTAGAGTGATCCTCTTAGCACCACTTCAGAATTTCATTTATGTATAATTTTTTTTCATCTAGTTCACTGTGAATGTTACTCTGTGTAAATGATGAAAACATAGAAAAGCAGCACAAGGCAATTTACCTTTCTTGATACTTGTATGGTTTTTATCTTTTATGTCTTTACTGTTATGACCGAAGATTTCATAGGAGGTAAAAAAGAAGCAGGAAATTTAAATAAGATACCCCGACTATCAGTTGTCTCAGCGCAATAATGTGACACTGTTATGTAGGAGCATCTAAATTTTTGTTGTGTGTGTTTTGTTTGTTTATTTGCATTTTGACTGCAAGGTGCTACGGCAGGGTCCATGCTGAACACCCCCCTCCAGTCCACAGCTCTCTCGAGTTCCTCCCAATCTCAGCTCTCTGACTTCTCCGAGATTAATGTCCTTTCACATTCTGAGCATGACCTTTCTGTGCTCTGATGGCCATAACCACAACGAGAAGATTCCTTCAGGATGAGAAGTAGGATCCAAAACAGAGTCTTTCCCTCCTGCTCTCCCCGCTCTTCACGGGCCAGCTCTGCTCCTCATTCACTGCTGGGCTCGGTGGGAGGGTTCTGTTCACAGAAAGGGGTCTGCTGCTAAAAAGAAACTTTGAAATCCATTTCTAGAGCAGGTCCTTTAGTTGGGCCTAAGAGTCACTCAAGGATAAAGATTAAAAGAGGCATTGCCTGACCAACTCCACTAGACTCCGGGGTAAGAGAGCTTCGGGAGCTCACACACATGCTCAGTTTCATACCTGGCATGAGTATTTGTACTTAACTGCAAGCTGTAGTTCCGATATGGCTGATAACTCACTTCTATAGGCACTATATTTTTCTTACACTTCTTATGTAAGTATTTGGATCCCTTTTATGAAATGTACGCTGTTTACTAGGAGAATAAATCTGGGTTTTAAAGTACCTCATTAATTTTGACAAATAATCCCTTTTTTCCGATAACGAGTAGATATCACAAAATGGTATTATCTTTTACAACTGATTTTTATAAATGTGCATATTCCTAAAATGTAAAAATTGTCAAACATAAATTCTGATGGAACTCGAATGTTACAGTGATTATTGTGCACCATTCTTCTTTCATAAGAGAAGCCTATTAACGCTACCTGAACTTCTGAAAACCAGCCCCACATTTTTACATTTTTCTTAATGAAGTGTGTTTGACTTTAATATGGGTAAATGCTTGAGTAGGCAGAGAGTAGATATCTCTTTCTGCAGAATGTGGTTCCACCCTGGTATGTGTGGTATTTCTTGCTTTCATTGGCTTCCTATTAATTACTGGCCATTTAAACACAGGTTGCTAGTAAGGTGATTGTGTTGGAGAGAAAGTAGTAAACTAGTGCTTAAAGCTATACATTTCAGCTACCTAAAAATGGCTTTTAATTGAAATACTGGCAGTCCCCAGGTTACGAATGAGATGGGTTCTTGAGTTGAATTTGTATATAAGTTGAAACAGGTACATTTACCTGTTACCTATACCAGCCTCCCTTCCTAAGTGTGAGTTGGACATCAGTCAGACATTTATAACTTGGGAGCGTACTATAACGTAATAGCCTCTGTTCATAGGTACAAGTTGTGCATAAATCAGATGTTTGTAACTCAGGGACTGCCTGTATGTTAAGTTGATAGTTATATGTATAGCAAGTAATTTCATTGGCATAGAGCAGGAGTGAGTGAAATTGGGCCCATAGAAATCTTGTCTCTGAAAGGGACAAGGGTGGGTGGGGAGGGAAAAAAGAAAAGAAATCTTATTTCTGAAATGTGTGTTAACTGTAGTGTATATGTTTAAGAAATTTCTGGAAAAATCTTTCTGTAGAGTGATAGTGTAATACGTTCCTTTCTTTCTTATTTCCTTAGGGCATTCGAATATTAAAGCCTTCCTGAGCCATGGTGGTCTGAACAGTATTTTTGAAACTATGTATCATGGTGTGCCTGTAGTGGGGATCCCACTCTTTGGAGACCATTATGATACAATGACCAGGGTGCAGGCGAAAGGCATGGGGATATTACTGGAATGGAAGACGGTGACTGAAGGAGAGCTCTATGACGCACTGGTGACAGTTATCAATAATCCCAGGTGAGGTTTCAGCGTCTGCTTTCAGCATATGTGTGTATCATTAGTAGCCAGTTATTGTCAATAAGTTGTAAAACCAACCATGGAAACATCCTTTAGATTCCTGTAGCAATGCCTTGTGCATGTTTTCTATAGTTTGAAATATAGCAATCATTTGGCCAGTCCTGTAAGGACTCTGAATAATATTCTATCCGGATGTGCCAAACTGAGGGATAAACTATTATGAACAATCATTGGGTTTCTACAGTACATCAAAATGTAACCTTTATTTCATTGTAATTCTCATGATAGCCATATAGAGGTTTTTATTACCTACATAATAGAGATGAGGTGCTTGAAATTCAGAGAGTGTAAGTCCTTTTCTCACAGTCACACAGCAATTAGAGCAGAATGAGAATCAGAAGTGATTCTCAGGCCAGTGCTCCTTGCACTATAGGCCAAGCCTTGGGCTGCGAGGGATCCCTTCTGAATGTTGAGATTGATTTATGTAGGTGAATGATAAAAGCAGAATCTTTATTTTGCTTTTTAAATTTTGATGGGTCCTGAATTAACCTGGTTTAGATATGAATCTCCAAGGATGGAGAACTGGCTCATGTGATTTTAAAATTGCTTCTTTTAAAATAAAGAACTGTTCACCATTTTTATACACAATGTTTAATTTCTCTTGCTTACAAATGGTAGTAAGGATTTGAAGAATGTAAAACTTTTTCTGTTTGTTGGGAGATATGGCTTAACACAAGATTGAGGAATGCTGCCTCATTCTAAGGGACAACCAACCATAAAATTTATTTCAGGTAAAATAACGTAACTTATATATAAATTGCTGAATTCAGCGGAGGTCCAGCATGCTACCTAAAGCATGAGGGCTGAGGTTGGCTGTCATGTGCTGGCACATTAAAATACTCGGTGTCTGGGTTATAGCTCTGGCACCTGGGCCAGTATGTTCTATGACTAGCAGGGCCTTACTATATCCTTTCTTATATGAGCTATAGTTTTTCTTTTAAAGTCTAGCACTTTACGAAACATGATGTTCTTGTGGAAAAAGAATATTTATATCATATTGTCTTTTTAAAGAGAAGTTTATAACATACAGCACTAAAGGAGAGTTGTAGGGTGGTGAGAGGACAGTTATAGAGCTACTGGGTTGGTCAGTTATAAAGAAAAGAGCAAGGCCGGGCATGGTGGCTTGTACCTTTAATCCTAGCACTCTGAGAGGCCGAGGCAGGTGGATCTCTTGAGCTCAGGAGTTTGAGACCAGCCTGAACAAGAGTTAGACCCCTTCTAGAAATAGATCTAGAAATAGAAAAACTTAGCTGGACATAAAGATGGATGGCTGTACTCCCAGGTTCCCAGGTACTTTGGAGGCTGAAGCAGGAGGATCTCTTGGACCAGGAATTTGAGGTTGCTGTGAGCTAGCCTAATGCCATGGCTCTCTGGCCTGGGCAATAGAGTGAACCTCTGTCTTAAGCAAAAAAAAAAAAAAAAAGAAAAGAAAAAGGAAGAAAAGAAAAGAGCAAAAATCTGGGGTAGTTATAGGAAGTTAGTCCAACTGTTCTGTGAGGCTTGAGCAGGCTGACTGCAATTAAATTCCAGCTACATAATATTGATGTATACATAAGTGATTGACTTCATAATGTTTTTAATTTTGTGCAGTGAATCAATTTATATCACTTCCCAAACTATGCATATTAGATAAATAATTAGTTAACTGTATGTAATCTTTGAAAACTTTCAGTATTTAACTGAAAGCCTTTTGTGTATTCAGGGTGGAAGGACATCTCCAGCAGTGTAAAAATTGGGAGTATGTCCTTTGCTAAAAGTCATGTAAACTAATTTATCTTTTTGTGTTTCAAATATATGACAGTGCTCCACATTTAACATCTAATAATTATTAAAGAGACTAATTTGCCTCTCTGATACCTTTTTCTGAGATATTGCAGTTTAAAGCAAGTAACCAATGTTGCTTAAAAAGTATTCCTTGTTTTTTAACCCATAACATAAATAAATTTATACACTTTTTTCCCTTACTTGTATGTGGGTTTATTGAATAAAAACTGTTTGCTTTTCCTTTGGGGGGAATTCTTTTGAATCTGGAGATGTTATTATTTAAAATCAGGTTAGGGGAAAAGATGGGGAGCTGATTATTATTAACCTAGTGCATATCCAACCTGTGGTCGACTCCTAATAGAAGACACGCTTTTATAAAATGTGATGCATATGTCACATGAGCACTTTACAAGGTAATTCTTTTTATTACAAGGGCCTTTATGTAGAGAATCCTTACAAGAGTTTAGAGTTGGCTTAAGTGACCATTTTAGTCACACTTTTTAAATTTGGCAACATTCAAAACTTTGTTGGAAAGAATGTTGAAGTTTAAAGCAAATTGTGCTGAAAAGAACACTTCCACGTAACACTACATTTGAGGCCAGTACCAGCATGAAGAAATTTATCTGTGGAGCCCCCAGCATTTCCTTCCAGTTGATCCACAGTCCTCAGAAGAGTCAGCAAATTGGATTGTTGAGTGTGTAATTCAGCTCTGTGAGTCTTCTCCCAGGTAGGACTGAGAGTCTGATACGAGTCCTTGACACTCAGATAAGCTGAGACATTTAGGAGATTTTCTGACAAATAGTGATTCAGGACCCAGGTGGACCTGTTGTTTCCTATGGTTAATCATTTATTCAACAAACAGTGCAAGAAGTCGGATTCCCCACAGGAGAAACTGTATAATCCGTTTATACACAGTGACTACAAAGTCCCTGAGGACTGAGATTGTTTTTATCCTCCTTCTCCATCTTCGTTCAGTAGAAGGCTGGATTTTATTTCCTAAGATACGATGCTTCAGTTTTCGTATTTTGCAGATGCCTTTTCACCCCATAAGCACTTTCTTACAAAGTGGAGTAGTAGAAAGTATCTAGTTTCTCTTTTGACAAAATTTTGAGAAACTTCTCTTTTTAGAAGTCATGATAAGTTGCAAACATCCGTAATGTTTGGGTGAGGGTTTTACATTGTGAAAACAACTGGATGTAGTATACAGTGTGGCCATAAAGTCAGATTGCACATGAACTTTATGGCCACCGTCTATAATTCTGATGTTGTTGTGAGACATTGATGAGTGAAAAACTCTGCCTGCTAATTGCATTTCCCTTTGTATGTGACTCTAGGAAGAAGCTGCAAGTAATAGCCTTGAGCTGCTCTTCATTCTGTTTCTCAAATTTGTTCTTTTATTTGTTAGATCTTAATGTGTAACTGAGTAGATCCCGCATTAGGCCCTGCAGTCTCCTAGCTCCAGTGTTTCTGTGGACTTCTTTTGCTTCCTGTAGTCATTTTGGCCATTGTGCCCTGAGTTACATGTTTCTGTGTCCCATTAACCGACTCTGCCATGTGAGCCATCCACACTGGAAACATGGCAGTTCCATCTGATTTCTCCCTCTCCCTTCAGATCTTAACCCTTCCTCAATCTTCCACTACGACATTTCCCACGGCGTTGTCTAATTCCATTAACATTTTTTGGCAGTTTCTCTTTGGCCATTAGTGAAGGCTTTTGAATAGAATTTCCACCATCAGTATCTTCCTTTCTGATTTAACAGCCAGTGTTTCTGATGTAATGGCTCTAACCAAGTTACATATTTGAGCATTCAGAAGACCGTGAGCAAAACTCATCTTCCTCCAGTCTAACTTACAAGCGAACACTTCTCATGCCACCCACTCTTTCCAAGTGAATTTCTCTGAGCACACTCTCACTCTCCCACCTTTAGGATTTAGTTCCTGTGCTTCTCTTGGCCTATCACGTTTTCACACATGTCCAAACTTTGGTTCCTCTGTAAGGCACAACTCCAGAGTGATATCTGCCATAATATATTTTGTAACCTCTTCAAGTAGAATTGTTTCTTAGGTCTAAATAATACAAAAGGGATTTATGCGAGGGAGCTTTGGGTAGTTGTCAAAGATTGGCACACAAGTGTGTAGTTACGTATTTATTTATTTATTTATTTTTGAGACAGAGTCTCACTATGTGGCCCTCAGTAGAGTGCCATGGCATCACAGCTCATAGTAACCTCAAACTCTTGGGCTTAAGTGATTCTCTTGCCTCAAGTTCCCAAGTAGCTTGGACTACAGGTGCCTTCCACAATGCTCAGCTATTTTGTTGTTGTTGTTATTATTATTTATCAGGCCCAGCTTGGTTCAAGCCCGCCAGCCCAGTGTATGTGGCCAACACCCTAACCACTGACCTATCGGCGTCAAGCCATAGTTACTTATTTTTAAATTAAAATAAAATGTTTATGTTTTCACTTTCATGATTATCTTCTTTAATTGGTGTTTAACCACTTAAGAGAGTGATTTCTTTGTATATACGTATATCTATACACTACCTATAATAAACACTGAGTATAATATCATCTGTGGCTTCATAGAAGTGTTTCTCAACCCACTTTTATCTCTTTAATAAATATGTCCTCATCCCATTATTTAATGTTATTTTAAATTGAAACAAAATTAGATGTCACTGCTGAAAAAAGGGGGATGGAACGAAGTTCTGCATATTTTACTCCATCTTTCCACCTAATACATTTTAAATGAATAATAACAAATTTACATCCCTTCCTGATTGAGACTTATAGAATAATGGTATTTAAAAACATGATGAGAAGGACTACGTGTGGTATAGCATAGAAAGAGCATCAGGAAAACTTGAATTCAAACCTTAACATTTAATCATCAAGTTAGTCTCTCAGATTTTCATGTTCTTTTCCAGTTTAAAATTCTTTTTGTTGGGTTAACATAAAAGAATGTGTTTAAAACACTTAACATCATGCGCACCCATTCTGGGCACTTAATTAGAGACAGTTGTTTTTGTTAATTTACCCAGATTTAGATTGAGAGATCGACAAATAACAGTATCTGTGTGTATGTGATCATCCTGTGTTTTACTCTCACTGCACAGCTACCGTCGGAGGGCTCAGAAGCTTTCAGAAATTCACAAGGACCAACCTGGCCACCCCGTCAATAGGACTATCTATTGGATAGATTACATTCTCCGTCACAATGGAGCCCACCACCTGCGTTCCACTGTCCACCAGATCTCTTTCTGTCAGTATTTCCTACTGGATATTGCCTTTGTGCTTTTGCTTGGTGCTGCCTTGTTTTACTTCCTCTTGTCCTGGGTGACAAAATTTATCTACAGAAAAATCAAAAGTCTCTGGTCTAGAAATAAGCATAGCACAGTTAATGGACATTACCACAATGGAATCCCCAATGGCAAGTACAAAAGAAACGGCCATATTAAACATGAAAAGAAGGTGAAGTGAGCCAACAGCCGGGGGCATAGACACAGATCTGTTCAGTCACCACTATTTAGTCTAACAGCTACTAAAAGTAAAACATCAGTAAGCAATTCTAACACACCCTTATCAGATTTTACTAATGAAATTCTGTGGAATTAAGATGGCTGTAAAAAAGCACAACCCTAAAATGCAAACATGTGTTTTAATCAAATACTGATACGGAGAGTTTTGGCACTCAACGCTGTAGAAGCCTTAATTATTTAAATCAACTAAGTGACCGTGTCAGACCTTAGTTTTAAATCTTTATATGTTTGTGTCCCAGATAAGGAATGGTTTCTTTTTCTTAATAAGAATTGTGTGTGTGTATGTGTGTGTGTGTGTGTGTGTCCTAATTAAGAGAATTTTTTAGCAGCTGCTTGCTGTATTTGTTGAAGGTACAACACATTCAAGGATGAAATAGAAAGATAGGACCCAAATGTCTCTCTTCTGTCATTTAATGTATGTGAATTCAGAGCACTACCGTGAAAGAACACTTTTCCCTCAAAACTGGACCCAGAGGAAGATAATGCGAGGATACCTGGAACAGAGTTTTTATACTTTTAGTTTGTTTCAGTTGTTTTGTGTTTGTTTTCCTTTTGTTACAGACTGTGGACACTTCTGGGGGAGAATATATAATTAAGGAAATGTATATTTGTTGTCACATTTTACTTTTGTGTTCCCACTACTGATCATTTTCCTGTGGAAGAATTTCATAGTTTTTTTTCTATTTCATTTTAATGGGTAACATTATGTTAAATGTACAATTTAAAGCTACAAAACTCTGACTTTTGTTCAAAGTATTGACGATTATTGTTTATATGGCATTTTTCAATAGGGATGTTGTTTGAATGTTTGCGTAACTGTTTGATGGCTTTTCTATAATGTAACTTTGGAATGTTCAGGTGTCACATCTGCAAAACCTTAACTTTGAAAACCCAAGTTCTTCTTCCCTTTTATTATCTGGGCCACACGATCTTATTATATAGGTGCCAACTTTCAATTCTTTTAAATGGGATATTTGCCGTTGTTCATATTGGTACCTGATTTGTCGGGAGAGGTTTGAGGTCTTGATAACAAAACCGACTACACAGATACACAGAAAACGACAGAGAAATTGTACCACTTGTGTGTGAAAATGAGTTCCTACTTTCTCGCTCCCTCCCTCAGCCCCCACCTCAGCAGCCTTTTCCAGTCCTCGTGGCTGACATGGAACAGTGACAGTATTCATTTGAGAACAGGGATGTAAGTTGCAGACATCATAAAATCCGGACCTCCCTGCTGAACCATTCACTGATTGACAACTGAGTCCATTCCATGTCCTTCTGTTTACTTAGCATTTGCACTACACAGGTTGAGTGTATGCTTTATTTATTTGTAGTTTGAAACCCCGCATCTGACAGCTGAGAGTAGACAAATACAACATTCGCCTAATGGCCTTCGCTAACAGGGAAGAGTTGTGAAAATTCTGGAATGCTGTAAATCCTTGTCGTACACTATGACAGACACCGTCATTACACTCCCACCAGGAGCCACTCTGCTATCCTTAGAAATAATGTCACAAGTAGTTTCCTAATATGCAATGCAGGCAAATGTTCTGCCCTCTGAATACTTGAAGAAATGGTATTATACATAGAAGCCTATTATACCTTTTCACAATCTTATCACAACTTTGCCGTTAAAAGGGAAAAAAGACACAGGCAATGAGTGGTGGGGTAGTAAAGGGACTTAGAGTGTATGAATGAGTTGATTTTACTTTTTTGGAATTTGATGAAATTGACCATAGACACTGACTGGATGATTAAGCTTAAGTTAATCTCCACTGTGATAAAAACTTAAATAATAAACATGATTTAAAATAGAGAAGTGTTGTTGGAATAAAATTTTTATCCAGATTATATTTCACAATATTTTATATACATGTCCATTATAAACGTGTTTCTAAGAAAAGTCTCTCAACTTTTGTATGTGTATATGAGTATGAAAACAATGTATTAAATGTGAGATTGTTTTTATATTATTAAACAGAGGGATTTAACTTACAAGTACATCAAACCTGGATCTTAAAATTCTGTCCAAGAATTAAGAATGTTAAGTCTAGGTATTTACTGATCACTGTTGTTTTTTTTCTGGTAAGCTTATTGTTAGCCAGTTTTGGTAAATAGAGTGATTTAAAATTTTTCACACTTGGGCTAGATTCTCTAATAAAGTAAAGTTTTCAAGAAGGTATTCACTCATTGATTTTTTTAGAAAGAATTGCCACAACTATTTATATATTCCTATGACCATTTATTGTGTCAAACACAAATGAAAATTAAGACATTTTTCTCCTAAAGTGGTAACTTCGAATATCCCTCCCCACAGATACGGGGGAAGATTTGGATATCCAGGTTTGGAAAGAGGTAATGTTTGTGTTAAAGAATGGTTTATGATTTAAGTTTAAAAAAGCTAAAGACTCTCTCTTCAAAGCTCAGCTGTTTACCAAATCCCAAAATGCTATTAAAACTGAATGACTCCACTTAAAAATATAAAAAGTGAAGAACAAACTAAAGGGATAATTCAGTGATCTGTTTTTTTGAAAGTATCATTCATTTTTAATTTTTGCTTCTAAGTGATTCAGCTGGTGTGTAAATATAAAATCACATTAGAGAATATTTATATCCAATTGGTATAAACAAAATAATGTAAAATTGAAAACTTTTAAATCTTACATGATGAAGTTTGGAAGTTACAAGAATTCTATTACACTTCTTCAAAACATGTATTAAATAACTTATTATCCTTCTTCTGAGATGGTAATGTTTTCAGCCAGTTTTGAAGATATATTTCAATGCAAAGATGCTGCTGACACTTTCCACAGACAGCAAAAACATTTTGTCAACAAAGTCAACAAGTTTTAGCTAGAAGTGCTTTTGAAGTTCACACAATTTAAACAACCCTATTATTATTTTTCTGTAAATCCTGCAAAATGTTACAAATCCCGAAAGGCACATGGTAGTTAAATAATTTGTAACCTTACTTTTAATTAATTCAGACATTATTTAAGATAATTCACATTGTAGTCTGCAAGACTTTTGATAATCTACCTATTTAGTGTCATAAAACCAACAGATTTTTTTAATAGAGTGATATATAATGCAAGTTCAGACTGAGAAATCAGAACAAAATGTAGAATTACTCTGTTAATTCAAATAAAACAATTATAGTGTCAATCTACAGAGAAAATCCGAATACCAACATTAATCATAGGTATTGCAATATCTCATGTATTACAAAGTATTTTCATATTTTTACCAATAAACCCAGATATTCTTGCTGAATTTTGTAGAATTATAATAAAATATTTTATTCTAGCACTTAGTGGGAATGCTTCCAACTTTTTCCCATCCAGTATTATGGTGGCTATCTGCCTCCACCTGTATTTAACATAATGCTGGAGAATCAGGCAAGAGAAAGAAATTTATGGTATCCACATTGGGAAAGAGGAGGTCAAACTATCACTTTTTGCTAACAATATGATCTTATATCTAGAAAACCCCAAAGACTCCACTAAAAGACTCCTGGAACTGATAAATTCAGCAAAATATCAGGTTATAAATCATCAATGTACACGCATTCCTATACACCAGTAACAGTCCAGCTGAGAGTCAAATCAAAGACCCCATATCATTCACAATTGCTACAAAGAAAATAAAATACATGGGAATAAGTTTAGGAGTTGAAAGATCTCTACAAAGGAATGAGGAAACACACAGAAAAGAAATCACAGATGACAAAAATGGAAAAACATGGACTCGTGGGTAATTGCAGTCAATATTATTCTGTCTACTATGTAAAGTGATTTGCAGATTCAATGCAATCCCCATCAAAATAACAATGTCCCATATTTCACATATCTAGAAAAAATATCTCTATGCTTAATTTGGACTTAGAAAAGAGCTTAAATAGCCAAACAATCTTAAGCAAAATGTGTAAATTTGGAGACATTTCATTACAAGATTTTGAATTATACTACAGGCACCACGGTAACCAAAACAGCATGGTATTGGCACATAAAAAGACATAAATTAATGGAGCAGAACAGAGAACCTAGATATAAAACCTCCCATATATAACCAACTGATCTTTGACAAAGCAAACAACATACACTGGGGAAAAGAAGCCCTTAATTTAATAAGTAGTGCTGGAATAATTGGACAGCTATGTACAGAAGAATGAAACTGGATCTATTACTCACAAAAATTAATTTGAAGATGGACAAAATATTTAAATGTAAAGCATGAAGCCATAAGAATTCTAGAAGAAAATGTTAGAAAAACTAGATACCAACCTAGAAAAAGAATTTATAAAGAAGATTCCAATGGAAATCACAGCAACAACAAAAATAAATACCATAAATGGGACTTGATTGAATTAAAAACCTTCTGCACAGCTAAGGCAATAGCCAGCAGAGCAAATACACAGTCTACGGAATGGGAGGAAATGTTCACAAGCGATAACAGCTGATAAAGGGCTAATGACAAGAATCTACAATGAACTCAACTTCATTAAAAAGTGGGCAAAAAGATATGAACACACAAACTTTTCAAAACAAGATAGATAAATGGCCATCAAACATGAAAAAATGCTCGGTGTCACTAATCATCAGAAATGTAAATCAAAACCACAATGAGATATCACTTTACCCCAGTTAGAATGGTTTTTATTAAAAAGTAAAGAAAAAAAATGCTGGCATGGATGTTGAGAGAAAGGAACATGTACACTGTTAGTAGGAGTACAACGTAATATGAAAACAATATGACAATTCCTCAGAGAACTAAAAGTAGACCTACAATTTGATCTTCAATCCCACTACTGGGTATTTAGCCCAAGGAAAAGAAGTAATTTTATCAAAAAGACGCCAGCCCATGAATACATTGCAAAGATGTGGAATCAATCCGAGTGCCTGTCAATTCATGAGTGAATTAACAGAATATAGTATATGTATA